ACCTTCGCCGTCGCCACCGGCCCACCCGACGCCCCGCCCCCCGTCCGCCGCTTCCCCCCCACCCACCGCACCGTCGCCGCCCCCGACCGCATCGCGCCCCTCGTCGGCTCCCAGGGCAGCCGCCTCCCCGAGCTCGCCCGCCGCGTCCTCCCCCCCGCCGTCTACGCCCGCGTCACCCGCCTCGCCCACCCGCCCCCGCTCGCCCGCGGCGCCAAGCTCCTCAAGTACGGCCCCGGCGTCCCCGCCCCGTGGAACCCCCCCGAGAAGCGCACCGACGGCGCGGGCGCGGACGCCGAGGGGGCAGCCAAGGACCGCGATGGGGCGGCCAAGATTGCCGACGCGCGCGTGTATGCGACGTGGGAGTATGAGGCCAAGGACTTTCGGAGTGTCATGCGGAAGCCGAGGGTGCAGCAGCAGCAGCAGCCCCCGCCTGCCCCTGCGCGGAGGAGTAGTCGGGCTGTGGCGTAGCGATGTGTGTGTATTAATTCTTTGCTTGCAATGTATCTGGTGCTGCATGGTCTACGCTGGTGTACTCTCACTCAGTCTGGGGACGACATCAAGCCATTGACCTCCCTAACAGCGCTAATCCTCTCAAGTCTTCTCCGACGCTGAATCATCACTCGGAGCACTCTAATTCATCTTGGCAAACGGACAATCGCCAAATGCGTCGTGTTATTTTGGTGAACTCGAGCGCTCCTTCTTCAGTTTCACCCGTCTGATTCGCCTGCGCCGAACCCAACCTGAGGCGCATTCGCCTGTCAAAGGCGCGCGCGTTATTGTGCACTGCGATCTGACTGTCTCTTCGCCTCGTCACCCGGCCAGCCAGCCCGGAGTCTGTAGACGACCGGATATATATGCGAGCTATGTTAAAATGAAGAAACCCAAAAAGCTTGTGTCTCCTGTGTCCATGTGAGCAGAAAGCAATCATCAAGAAAGTTCCGCTGGGGGTGGAGTCGTTCCTTCACGCCCGCAAGACAACGGAGGCGCAGAACTGGACACTTCTGTCTTCATTCCTGAGCTCAATGTTACGGATGCGTCCCGTCTTCGCTTTGTCGAAGGCCACAGCTCGATCTCCCGCCACCGCTGGACAAGGGTACGCATTTTTCTTGTTCGCCAGCCTACCCCCGGAGCAGAAGTGTAGCCTGTGCGGCGATGGAGAGGGGCAGTGTTCGGACTGTAGCAAAGAGTACCATGCATTCTGTGCGTGGCGGCATGGGGCTTCGAGATTCAGCCTGTGCGTCCTCACATTGATTTCTTTCTTTGTTTAGTACCGGCCCTGATTTTCACAGGTGAAGATCCAATTACAGTAAAAAATACGGTCGTGAAGCTGTTGCTGATCCCCCCTTCTTCCTGTCATTGCACTTGGAAGAGGCTACGCATTTGCACCGCGGCAGGTGTTGCTAGCAGCAGGGGATGTGTTTCGCAACTTGAAGTTCGTTGTCGGGAGAGTGGACGGGTAAATCGCAGCCTGAAGCTCGTCGGCCATCGCGCCCACGTGCGCCCACAACTTCGCTGCGGCGAGGGTGTTTCGCTATCTACTTACTCAAAGCTAGAAGTAACCTTGGAATAACATATTTTTCTTTTCTCGCTCAGTTTCCTTCGAACAACTTCCATTTTGCTACTGCGCTGTCTGTTACTCAACGTAGGACTCTACGAAAGACTGAAGCCCGACGCCCACAGTGCCACTACATGAAACGTGACCAACCTTCTTCTGTTCCGACTCTGACCTTGCTCTGACCTGCTCTGACTGAGAGTCATGCAGGAAGGAGAACGTTTCACCTGGGCGATAGTTCATCCCTCTGCTGTTCAGACAGTGGCATACGCAAACTCGGAGCTCGTCACAGCAGCCGCACATAAAATCAAATCCCGACAATATCTGGCGCTTGTTCTCGAGTCACCCCCGAAGCCGTGGGATCGGTCCTGGATAGCTTGCATTGTTGAGCCAGCAACTCACAGCCCATTGCCCCAAATCTGTTTGCCAATCCGGCCCTGCACATTGGGGACTCGAGAACCTCTTGATCCTGGCTTCGAGTGGTCATTTGACGACTGCGTGGTCAGCACAGGCGACGCGAACCCTGTCATCCCTGAATTCATTGACACTGGGAAGACTCCACATGTTCTATCACGGAGCGAAGCCGTTCGTTTTCATGAACTGTTGATGAAAGACTTCGAAGCAGTCTCCGTCATGCAAATGGTGCGGAGAAGAGAAGAACGACGAGCAGAAGGATTTTCGGACGGTGGTAGCCTTGCTGTGTGGACCACTTACAGCTCGAAAAGTACAAGAATCCCTCGATTGCCGGGGGAATTCTTCCCGAGATTGGTGCATCTGTCTGCCAAGGTCCACTATGATCTTTCGGCCACAGATGACTTTGGCACTTTGAGCGACTGGCGAGAGGAACGTAAAGCCGTATTGAGGTGCTCTTCAATCCATTCCGTATTGACTTGTCGTTGATTTTCTGTTCAGGCTTCTTGCTCGTTTCGCATATCCGTCGACTGAGAGAGCTATCCGATGGGCGCACGAGATGCAGGTAATAGAATCGTTACAATTGTGATTTAGACTCACTGTGTACAGGAAATGGTTGCGTGCGGCTGTCACTTCTCTGCACCCGTGCAATCCGAAGAAGATATCCCCGACTTGACCTGTGCGCCCTTAGTCGAGGTTGCATCTTTGTTTGATAGACCTTGGAGCCCCGACGTAATTCAACCCGATGATACGTTGGACAGAGGCGATGGGGCAGAAGAAGACGGCTGGGGTGAAGACTGGGGCTTTTACAGTGACACTGCATACTACGAAAAACCTGATGAAGACGGGTGTCCCGTCCCAAGAATTTCTGTCCTGAAACCACCTCCCCCGCCTCCTCCTAATTTTACTTTTCCAGCAGTCCAGGTCATATATTTCGATATCCATGGCACGCTCATCGTATGCTTTCGTCGTGCCTTCGCACCTTCCTTACTGATCAACTTTTCAGGACAAAGAACTGGGCGTATTCGAAGCCTTGTCGCCCCTTCTCGCTCGCTCTCCATATCAATTCGACCGCAATGAAGCGGTTTCGTTTTATCTCGAAAGCGAATACGAGATCAAGAAACGACGTCCCGGGGCCCCGTACGTGCATATCTTATCAGAAACCTACGACGACGTCGCCCTGCGTCTCGGCATCGAGTTCACAAGCTCCGATTCTGCCTTATTCGCCCACTCCATCGCCGACTGGCCGCTCGTTCCTAATGCTGAGCGGTGTCTCGCTACCTTCCGCAATATCTCCGGCCTGTCCCTTTCCGCGATAGCAGACGTGGACCAAGACGCCCTGGACCGCACGTCTGCATTCGCGGCCCTTGCGCCGTACTTCAACACCGTCTTCACTTCCGAGTCGGACACATGCGCCGCGTACAAGCCCGCGCGCGCCGTCTTCGAAGCCCCTCTGCGGCACTACGACGCGCTCGGAGTGCCGCGCGCAAGCACATGCATCGTGTCGGCGAGCTTGCTCCTGGATCTGGAGCCCGCAAGAGAGCTCGGCGTTCCGGGGGTCTGGGTGCAGTACCCCGAGAGGCTCGCGGAGCGTGTAGGCGCCTGGGAGAGCGCGTATCCCGCGTTTGCTGTTCGGAATCTTGCTGATCTGGCGAGGGCTTTTTGGGAGGCACATTTGCCCGGCGGTCCGCACGAACAGTGGGTGCAAGGGTCGAGGGGTGATACAGCGGCCCCGAATTTGGAGGGGCCCGCCCGTGTCTCCTGGTTTCGTAGAGGAAGCATGCCATGACGCGTCGGATTCAGAGGGTGCACCGACGTGCACCGACGTCTCCCAGCTCTCCGCGGTTGGGCCGTTGGGTAGAGGACGACGTCCAGGTCGGGAGCACGCAGCAGATCCGGCGAGTTGATAGAGGGACGCCAAGAGAACAGCGTGCAGTCGCAGTCGCAGTCTCTCGCAAGCAATTTTCAAGCCGAAGTACAGATTTCTTGGGGATCATCTCGAGAGAGGGTTATTAGACCATGCGCATACCAAGAAGGCGCAGTGGTGAACTCCAGCGCTCCCTTATCCGTTTCACCCGTCGGCATTCCGGTCTGTTTCGCCACACACAAGCCTGCGCTGAACCTCGAGCGAAAGGAGAAGGAGAACATGGAGTCAGATCCGCCTGTCGAGGTCGAAGGCCGCGCGCGCGAAGAACGCGTTATTGTGCACTGCGATTTTGACTGTCTCTTCGCCTTGTCGCCCGGCCAGCGATCCGGGAGCAGCCGGTGGGTAAGTTTCAATTGCAAACAAGGCGTTGCGTTGCTAAATGTATTCGTAGCTTGTCTCGTTCGATACTACTGCACTCCATCCGCGGAAGGAATTGCCCCGCAACTCAGACTGCAATCCTGCCGGTCATCGTCAGCTTCAGCGCCTCGAGGAGCTGCTTGTTTAAGGCATGCGCCTCCTCCTCGTGCGTCGTCCACCGGATTCATCGAATCTGTACTCTCGCGCGAGTCTCCGAGCCCGATTGTGCACTCTTGGAAGAGGCCATATTCCCGTAGGGAGAATCCCCTTCATTCAAGCTTGTGCGGTGGGTGATAGGAGCAGCAAGGGGTGGAATTTCCGCAAGTTCGTCCTCGGGAGAGTGGATGGGCAAATCGCAGTCGTCGGGGCCACATGCGCCGATAACGCTGCGGGGGTGTTGTCGATGGACCTGAGGGTGTTGGCTATGGCGGATCGTGCCCAATGAGTCCTAATGACTCACAAAGATTTTGAACTTCCCACTCACCGCCGAGCTAGTTCAGAACCATTTGCGTTGGTGAATTGTTCGTGAATCGATGCGACGTCATCAACCTTCTGCTCATGCAGAAAGAAAACATTCAGGCCGTTCAACTGAACAATAGGTTCATAGTCTCCCTTGTCCTCTTGGGCCTTGGCCTTGTTTTTGCATGCAAAGATCTGTTCAGAGGTCGTCTGAGCAGGGGGACCGATCGAACGCCGACTCAGCATTCATATCCGCATCTGCCCTAGATATTTCTTTTGGACTCGTACTCACGAGGCAAGATGGCCGAGCGGTTAAGGCGTGTGACTCAAGCGTGACAGCTTGCCTGTTCAAGGGTTTCTCATCACGTAATGTGGCGTGGGTTCGAGTCCCACTCTTGTCAGCTTTTTCATGCGGAATTTGGGACTCTACACTCGTTCTATAATTCCAACCATGCTCGTAACAACTCATTCATCAGCGAAATCTTTCTCAGTTCATTTTTCTTAGAAACAAAGTGGCTGACGCATATCACCCAATCGAGCCAGTGTTGCTACCTTCTTCATTGGCGCAGTGAGCATTATTTCCTTATCGAGCCGCGAGCGGTTGTTTGGTTTTTGATTGATCAAAGAACAAACATCCCACTTCGTTCAAACTTCATTGGAAGTCATGGCTGTACCGGGAAGTTGGAACTTTAATTTAGGGTGGTGAAACCACGTTCAGATCGAAATTTTTGAACCACCCTCGACTGGGAATCAAGCCCGCGATCATCTTTGACCTGGCAGACCTGCTACGGTAGTATCTACCACCCTCGCTGGCCTGGGATCCCTCGCTCAAGATCCCATTTTGGACGGATTGCTGCCTATTTTCGCCCCCTCGCACCTCCAAAGGTTATTTTGCATTAATCCTGAGAAGGATGCGGAACCGACGTGAGCTTCGTTTAAGATTAAGACTAGGGGCATTTGTACGCATCTTGTAATGGACCCTCACGCTTGAATTACCTCAGCTTGCGCCGTCTATTCGGTCAGCGGTATTTTGTACAAGGTACCGGTCTACATTGTGGAAGTGTTGAAATGTTGAAGCATCGTCTTTGTAGAGTGTCATCAAGTTAGTCCCGAGGCGAATGCTGCAACATGAAGAGTTCCGCCACAGCGAACGAGAATGAGGCAGTCTAGACTCGAAGATTTGGTTTATTATCGATTTGCCCCTCCCATCCTACGACGTATCTACATCTCTAGCATTAAGTATGACTCTTCCATCTTGGGTACGCCCAATATACAGCAAGTTTTTCCATATATATTGGAGCGTGCTCAGCATTATAATTACAGCAGGGTCTAGCGCTAATCAAGACATATAGCAGTTTAAGTACAAAGCAAGGGGAGATAACACGACGCTACTGCGCCGCCGCGCGCACAAACCCAGGTGGTCGGCTGAACCCAGCATCCATTACCGCCTGCCGTCTTTGTCCGACAGCGGCGTTGAGCTTGTCCATCATCTGGACCGTGGTCGCCCAGTTGACGCATGCGTCTGTGATACTGACCCCGTGTTTTAAATGTTGGGCACCCTCGCTGGGAACGTCCTGGCGCCCGTCGTTGATATTTGACTCGACCATGACGCCCGTGATATTCCGCTCGCCAGCCGCGAGTTGTTCGCAAATCGAGTCGATTACGAGCGGCTGGTTGTTGTGGTTTTTTTGGGAGTTGCCGTCTAAGGAGGCGAGGAAGCATGAGAAGCTGAATGCATTCCGAGGGCGCGGACGTACGACTGCAGTCAACCATTATGCTCGCCCATTCTTTCTTCTTGTAGATGGCCTTGGCGGCTGATTTTACGTGCTCGCTGGCGTAGTTGGGCCCCTTGGTCCCACCACGAAGGATCACATGTGTGTCCTGGTTACCGCGAGTCTTGACAATGGAAGCGAGACCTGAGTGAGAGGAGTCTTAGTTTTAGGGATCGCGGGCGGCGAAAAATTCCATACCTTGTTCCGTTACTCCCATGAAGGCGTGGGGAGATCCAGCGGAGAACATCGCGTCAATAGCGACAGACACGCTGCCATCGGTGCCATTTTTGAAGCCAATAGGGAAGGAAACGCCAGAAGCCTATAGGAGCAGAATTAGTGCCTGAGTATAAAATCGAAAGAGGAAAGGGACGCACGAGCTCGCGATGAAGCTGCGATTCAGTCGTTCGGGCACCGATGGCGCCCCAAGATATTACTGTCAAGGGGTCAAACAATGACCGTTGCCATTCTTGGTCTCACTCACGGTCCGCAAGGTACTGGGGTGAGATTGTATCAAGTAGTTCCGAGCCAACCGGAATGCCCAAGTCCGTAATGTCACACAGCAGCTGCCGTGCAATACGGAGACCCTTGTTGATCTTGAAGGAGCCATTGATGTCCGGGTCGTTGATGAGACCTTTCCAGCCAACGGTCGTTCGCGGTTTCTACGGACATGAGTGTGGGTTGCGTTAATAAAATGTTGAAAGTCACCTCGCTATAGTACGTGGGTTATTTCAGTGGAATAAAATGTGGGGCAAAGGGACCCACAAATAAGCCCGCATGATGATCAAGAGGTTGCCCCAATCGGGAAGTTTAGACTTGAGCAAATTCGCGTACTCAAGGGCCTGTTCCGGCGAGTGGATGGAGCACGGGCCGACAATGACGACGACGCGATCGTCGTGGCCTGCGACAATGTGCGCTGCGTTGTAACGCGCAGACGCGATCGTCTTTTGCGCGTTAGCCGTAGACACGATTTCATGTCTCAGCAGCGCAGGCTGCACTAGGGGATCATACTATCTCTGTGTGAATACAGCTGCGAGCTGCGCGATGGCGGACACCTACACCGATGACACGGCGGTCCTGGATGTACTGCTGGACCTTTTCTGCGTCTTGAAAGTCGGGAAACGGAGTTACGTCGTTGTAGACCATGTTTTCCTCGGGAACAGCTGTGACGTCGAGGTAAGGTTGAGGTGGATGAAGGGAGAGGGGGGGTAGTTACGGAATCTAAACGCGTTCTGCGCCGCTTTTATAGAGTTTTGGGACAACGACATGTGCGCAAACGTTCGAGTCAGAGGCAGATCAGTGCAATGTGGCACAGGACGGAAGGGGAAATCCCGGCAAACAACTTCACCCGTGGCGGTGCACGGGCGTATCACAAAATTGCTTGCAAATTGCCATGTCCAAGATTTCCGTATCACTCAAGCCCACGGCCGGGTTCTGCATAAAATCTACGACCCTTAAACCGGCCGCGCTCAGGGTTCCCTCGGCCGTCCCCCCCGGGCCAAATTCTCTTGAGCCCCCCCGCACGTCTATTGCAGTCCCTGTCCACCAGAAAATATTTGTCAATATCGCGTGGGACTCGCAGGTCAACATTATTTCGTGACCCTGGCGCCATCCAAGAGTTAAATCGGGTGATACACAGGTCCCATCTCCACCAGAAGGTAATGAGGAAGCAATACAGCGCGCGATGCACGGCGAGGACGAGGATCTGAATCCCGATGCTTGGTTTGTCCCCGTTGTTGTCTCTGAACCACGACAGGATACCGATAAATGTACGTCTGCTCATCTTTGTAGCTAGCTTCCGGTACTGCCATCGTGCGCCGCAAAGCGCTGCCTGCCTAACACTTTTGCGCCCAGCACTTGCTGACCAATTCCTTGCCAGCCGGAAACCCTTCTCTTGTGTTCGACTGTATATATCACACCTCTATTAAATCGCGGACGCTTCGCGATCCTGCGTTCAAAATCTTCATCCAAGGCGCGTTAGCTTGAATGTTGATCTGTTTCGTTTGTAATTATCTGCTTACTGTCAGAACTCGCGCTGCAGCGTATCGAGGCACAAACCTCGCTAGTCCTTTCGCGGCAGATATCTACCCCAAATATCGCCTCCAAAGGCAAACTTCTTCCCCGCACAGTCCTCATCCCATCGGTCATCCCGACAGCTCCGAATAAGAGACCGCTGATCGAAGAACTAACCCCTTCAGCGGCCGTCGCCGTTAACAATAAACCTGATCCTGTGAAAGGAATTTTGAAGCCCAACGCGCCACCAAGCACGGCAACACGGCCAACCTGGAGCTGGTCCAAGAATGCAAACGGCTCTATAGAAATAACTATCGCCATGCCTTTCCTTGCAAGTCCTGCCATTCTACGTAGTTTTTATCCAGGTTTAACGCCGTTTTGCCACCACCCCCAGACGCGCGCTTTAGTTGCCGATACGACGCTCGAGCTCGAACCAAGACGGTTGATTATAGCTGTGCCGGGACACCCGCCGCTGGACATCAACGTTGGCGTTTCCGATGCCGAGATCGCCGCGACGTCTGGCACTGCTCTCAACGGCGGATTGACACTTAAACGCGAGCGTGAGCTGGATGTAGACACGGCCACGGCCGAGTGGCGCGTTTCGACCGGAGTGTTGGTCGTGGTTGCGTGACTGGGACTGCGGGCATCGCGGAAAGGGATGTGGGCTGTTTCCCGTGTGTGATATCTTATCAACCTAAATGTATAGTGGTCCCCTCAAAATCTAAAGAAAGTCTCCTTGGGGCGCACAAGTCAACTATAGCACCCCACGTTCAATTCGATTCATAATTCGGACCGAGATACTGGATGGTCGCCCTGATGGCTGGCTTGGCTAACAGAGGTGATATACTAAGTATGTTACGGCTAGCCTGACATTCCGGGGCGAGAAATTCGATGGGGCCTCAAGAAACGCCCTGAAATTTATTGTTTGAGGACGGTTTTAAGAGGATTTTGAGAGTTCATCTACTTCCATCTACTTACTTCTGAGGTTCCCAAAACAAACTCTGCAGCCCTATATTCGGTGATTTATACGTTGTGCCTTGTACCTTGGCGCAAGGAACAGAAACGGCAAGAGACCATTCTTGTGCTGATGATCTACTACGCCATGACAATCAGTGCGAGTGAGTATACACCGTGGTTGCGGATATGGGGGTGGGGCCGGTCTCAGCAATTCAGATATGGCCCGTTAAGAAACTGGCAGCCGGGGCCCAAGACATTGTGTCTAATGCGGGGCGGCGGACAAGTATGTAGCGAAAAAACATTTCGCGCTATGATCGACACAGCCACTCCATCTCGTTCTCTTCCCGACGTTCATTTCCGGCGTGAACGAAATGTATCATCTGTAGATGCACATACCGCAGTGACGGAGCCTGTCGGCGGCGGGACGGAGAAGAAACCGACGAAGGCGATCGCACTCGGTCCGGTTAGGTTCCCGTCCAGCTCGGAAGACTGTAATTATCGTGGACACTAAATGTTCCCAGATTCCAGTTGGATTCCAGGCGGCAAAACATATATTTCCTTTATAGTTTCGCCGGCCCTAGGTAGGCTTCATCATCCCATTGCACTATAAAGGCAGGGAAGTGGCGGCCCTCGAGATGGAACTGAAAATCGGTGTACCTTTT